CCAAATCAGGACTCATACCTACTGATAATTACACTGAATACAAATTAATTAAATGTATCTGTCAAGAGACATAAAGAGGATAAGAAAACAGGATTTTTCCAGTATGCTGTCTATAAGAGACTAAGCAAAAGGAGACACTTTAAATGCCCATCAGCAGAAGAATGGTCAAACAAACTTTGGTACATACACAAAATGGAATACTAAAAAATGTTGAAGAATAATGATGAATCTGTGATTCACACCTCACAACATGCTGAGTGAAATTAGTCAATCATAAAAGGACAAACATTGTATGAGACCAATGCTGCAAAATTTCTTTAAATTTTGATAAAAGAAACAATCTAAAGCTGTTGCTCTCCTATGTAAATTATCACTCAATTCACAATAAACAATAAAAGTTTAAAAAAAGAACAAGAAAGAAAGAAAAGAAACAATCTATGATAGTTATGGAACATGGGGGCAAAGGGAAAATTATTCATGCACTAGAGGGTGGATATATGTTAACATGGGTGACAGCAAAGGCAATGTACAACAAGAGGGAGGTTAGCAGAGTAAAGATGAAGGTAGCAGGAGACACAGGTAGGAAGGCAATAGTTAAAGTGAATAGAAGTAAAAGTTGTTAATTGTTGTGACATGGAGGGATTGCAACCAGGTAATGAAGCAAAGCATATGAGTTGTTGAATGCAAAACTGATGATCTGCTCTGTAAACCTTCACTCAGTTCACAATGAAGAGTTTAAAATAAAAACAAAAACTTGGAACTAATGTTTACTGTATAAAATGACCCATCACAGAAATAGGAATGGGAAGAATCTCACTACCCTCAAAAGAACTAGGAGAGGAGCATGTCCTTTGGATCTTAAGACCCCTGCACATTGAAGCTCCTCAACCCAGGGACAGAAAGATACGACAGCAGAAGAGTGGTAGAGAAGCAGTAAAAGAACCAAGAGTCAGACCACAAGACAGAGTGGTGGGCTTCCTAGTCCATGAAGCAAGTAAAGCAGAGTAACTTTAGTCAGGAGGCTTGCTTGAAGAGTGGGTGCTTACAGGAACTTAACTGGGGGACACAGATTTGCTCTCCCATGGAGATAGAGTCAAGTACATACAGGATGAGACTTATGGTGAAGTGGCATGCCCTGAGGGCATTTATCAGCAGTCTTACAAGAGTTTTCTAACATTGTGTGAGTGGGTGGAGGTTAGTTCTAGGAGCTGGAGGCCTGGCTGTGGGCACTCCAGAGGAGAGACTGTCCTGTCTGAAGAACTGTGGCCTGAACATTTCTGCCCCCGAATTGTAACCTGTTAACTTCCCTAATGGTGTCTTGGTGTGGCGCTGTGGGCTAATGT